GTCAATGTAAGTGATGATTTTAAAAATGGTTGACAGCTGGGAAGTGTTATAGAATGATGGGTGGACATAGATGAAAGGCAGGTGGGGTGAATCAATTGAGAAAAATTAGAAGAGGGAGTTGAAGACAGAGGAGGGGGCCCACGGGAGCCACATAAACTCCTCTACTACTGATTTTTGCACTCTTGTTCGTGTAAAATCAACCTTATGCATAATGTGGATATTGCAAGAAGCAGGAGGTTGGAAGAAGAGAGGTCTCTTTAACAGGGCCACCAGACGCCAGGAGAAGACAATTAGACATATTTTGAGCAGAGACCTAGCATGTCACAGCTTTTCAAGATGTGGACCAAATTCAGTAGGTTTACCAAGATTTTGTTTTGTTGTGTTTGGAAAGGAGCTCTCTTAAACACAATTAGACACTAGCTAGATTCCCCACCACCACCATATCTCTCTAGTCATAGTACATGTTTTTCCTTACCAATGTATCTCTCATTTGCCGTACTTTGTTGAAAAGTAGACGTGAGTTGAATTAGTGAAGCACATATCTGAAGGAATCCCTTTGTGGCAGGGAAAACATACTAGTTAGAGGAAATACTCATTACCTCTAATACATATTTAGTTTGACCTGAAGCAGGCCTTCCTTTGAGAAGTGTTAGGTATCTAACACTAGCCACCTAGAGTGGTCCGGTGGGCCATTGTTGAAAAGTAGACGTGAGTTGAATTAGTGAAGCACATATCTGAAGGAATCCCTTTGTGGCAGGGAAAACATACTAGTTAGAGGAAATACTCATTACCTCTAATACATATTTAGTTTGACCTGAAGCAGGCCTTCCTTTGAGAAGTGTCAGGTATCTATAAAATGGTGTAAAATGCTATAATCAGATTGTTATCCTACAGCTATTTTAGATGATGCAAGTTGAATGTTGTACAACTTCTATTGTTTTCTGGCCTGTTTCAAAAGCCAGCCAAAGACATCCTAGAAGCTCATCACAACCTCAGTTCCCTGGGCATTAATCCTTAAGAAGCCAAAAAAATTGCTATCCACACAGAAGAAGGTGATCAGGAAAACCCAAAGAAATTTTTTTTTTGCTGCAGATATTGAGGAAGCAAAATAGCTCAGTGAAGACTAATCTTGCTTGGACCATTTGACTGATTATTGGGGTGGATAGAAAACTAGACAACAGCAAGGAATGGAACAGAATTGAATGGAATGTCCTGCCACAGACCATGGCTGGCTGGCTGGTTGGAACCTTGAACTATTCTGCATCTTTTTGTCGAAGGCCTCCTGATAATTTTTAATGGAGCAGCTTGGAAACCTTATTTTTGGGGATTAGGACTCTTCAAATCTCTCAGCCAGCATTGTTGGCTAGCCACATTTCCAAGCTCTGGTTTAATCTTCTTAAAGTATTATTTTTTCCTTCTTCAAAGTGTTTTTCTTATTATCAAGCCAAGATTTCAGGGTATTTATACCCATGTACCCTGTCTGTTTCGATATCTGTTCTCTGTTCTTTATACCTTTGTTTCCCCTTCTCACTTCAACAATGCTGGGATTAGGGACACTGGACCCTTGTGTAATTCAAAGTCCATTTATAACTCTTCTACCTCCAAAAATATAACTACAAATCATAAGCACTTGATTCAGACAGACAAAGAAGGAGGGGGAACAGTTCTCTCTATTGGGGTTCTCCACAATAGTGCCACAATATGGCCATGTCAGAGAAACCTAATTGAATTCACCTTCATAACAACACTGCTTGGTTTAATGTGGACAACACACACACCCCGGGGCTCATTCTCCTCCATATGAAAAGATTTGTTGAGCTGTGTGCGTTGGTATTTCAGCACAGGGAACAGGCAAAGAGGTGGATACATGATTTTGAAAAGCATTTCTTACTAAGATATTTCTGGAGAAATTTCTCCTTACGACCTTGTTGGTGGCATATCTGTTGTGCCTACTTAGAAATATGAAAGGAATTTGGGAACAGCTGAACCACCATGAATTACTTATTGTAAATTAAAGTGTGTTGTAATAAAATTATTGAGAATGTAAAGTTATGCAAGTAAATAATTTAACAAAACATGAATGGTGCCAGAAGGGACATATATTTGTATTTCCATTTAACCAGTCGTCTTTCACATTGTTCTGAAACCTTTATTCTAGTCAAAGAATTGAACCTGGGCCTTGTTCAATGGCTCTGTCAAATTATAGATTGATCAGCAACTCTTTGAATATGTAATTTTTAAAATTCTATTTTTTTCTTTAAAGAAAAACATCTGATTTGTATGACTTTGAGACTAATAGTCCAAGGTTCTTTCAACTATTAGAAGATTAAAAGTACCGTACGGCTTTTGGGGCCTCTTTCAGAAACATTGTACTAATTAAAAGCAAAGTGTGCTGCTTATGTACCGCCCCATAGTGCTTCAAGCACTCTCTGGGCGGTTTACAAGTTAATTATGCAGGCTACACATTGCCCCCCCCCCCAGCAAGCTGGGTACTCATTTTATCGACCTCGGAAGGATAGAAGGCTGAGTCAACCTTGAGCCGCTACCTGGGATTGAACCCCAAGTCATGAGCACAGTTTTGGCTGCAGTACAGCAGTTTAACTACTGCGCCAATGAGGTCACGAAGCAGCCTTCTTGTTGTTATCTATTGAACACACATTGAGGTCATCATTATCAATATCTCAAAAACACAACAGTTGCCAAGTGATGTTGCCATGTATTCCCAGATGTTAGACTTTTTCTGTTTCTCCCCTTCCTTACCATTCCCAGTAGGAAAAAGCTGGGTTTTCTTAGAACGATTCTCAGAATCATTCTGAAGAATTGTTTGCTTCTCTTTTTCAAGTGTTATAAATGATCATCCATAGGAAACAGCATACATATGATTATTTGGAATTGGAAAGAAAAGCTATACAAGAGAACTAAGTATATTTTGTTGTTAGCTGTTAGTGGACAATTAAGATTCAAGAACTGCTGCTGAGTCCAGAGAAATTCAGAAGAAAATCTTGCCATGTTGAGATAAAGAACAAGTAGAATACAATGAAGATCTCACAAAGCAATATAATTAATCTAGAGGTAAATATTTGTATTTTAAAAATTGTGTCTGAGTCCAGAAACTGTCTTTCATTAGAGTTTTGAATAGTTCATAGGTTTATCTGTTTCTTTTTCAGGGGAGCTGTCCAATGATAAATGAAATACAAAACTCTTAGTAAATCTAGCCAATTCAATTTCTCTTCAGGTTGATCAGAAGAACGACATTTACCTCACATGTCTTCCTCACTTTTGTGAAAGACAGTAGACTTAAAGGGTTTGTTCAGGTAAGCTGACAAAAATGAAATTTATTTTATTGAACCTATATATGTTAGAACTTTTAATACCATGAACAACTTTCTCTACTGCGTATAATGTTCTTCTGGGTCTAGCTTTTCACAGGAATAATATATTTTCTCAATTGGTGTATATTTTGGATTTTTCAAAGGCACTTTCAGATTTGAAAAGCTTAAGAAATCAGTAAGGCAAAGAACTAACTAGGTTCCTGGCTCTCAATCAGTCCCTTCCCTTTAAAAAAGGCAAAGAAAACTCCTACAGTACAGTACATTATTTAATTTAGGGACCCCAACTCCAGGAGGAAGGAGGGCCTGGCGTGCTCTGGTCCATGAGGTCACGAAGAGTCGGACACAACTTAACGACTAAAGAACAACATTATATGGCTTTCAAAATAAATTGCTTGTTAATCCCTTGCTTCATTATTGCTATATATAACTGCTAGATACAGGAAGATTCGCTTGTGGGGTTTACTACCCAATGTGCCAGAACAACTTGGCTACCTGTAAGTACTTTAAGAATGTGCAAGAGATACTTGCTGGCTGGAGGACTATGTGGTGACTTCTGGGGTTTGCCTTCAAAAAAAATAAGATTTTGCAAGCTCCAAATGGTCTGTTCACTTCTTTTGTGATTTACTGTATATTTAGTGGTAAATTTCTCTGGCAGGAGTACAATCTAGTAAATTGAAACAGGCATGACTGAATACTGGCAAAGTTATATTTGTTAAATATGGGAGAGTTTTTTTTCTTAGCAAAGGTTAATATTATGCCCTCAAATGCACTTCCAAGGTATATCTCATGACCACAGATTATGTCCATGCAGTCTTGAGCTGTAGAGTTCATAGCACATATGCTTCTGTATTGTCATTTTTACAGAAATGCAAGGGATAGAATATTGTACCCAGTTTTTGATACTTTCCTGTTTGATCCAAAGTAGATCTTTTGGAAATATGTCTAAATGGGAATAGTCCTTTGGTTATTAATGTTACAAAATTTGTAAATATTATAATTGGTATTAAAACAAAGATCTTCAAAGAAATTCAGTCTATGCCATATTCAGTTGTATAATGCCTGTTCGGGTTTGTTCTCCAAGTGTCTGTGTTCTTTATGATCGATTAATGAACATTTATAGTATTAGGTGGGATTTCCGTTCTATTTATGGCTCATCTATCTCACAATATAACTTCTGGAATCTTGTTCCCAGTGTGCTCACATAAATGGCAGGTCAGCCAATGAAATGCCATAGTAAACTGCTACTGCTGCTCCCCATTTTTTTCTACCAATAATGGAAAACCACTGCACAGACTTTTAGTCTAACCACCCACTGACTTCTGTGTGCCTCAACAGTAATCAAAAACATTAGAGGTTTGTTCTGTGTAACTGCCCGAACAGGATCTGACCCATTCCATAGCTGAAGAAACAAAATAAAAACAAAAACAAAAAAGAAATGGGTTGCTGTGTGATATCCATTTGGTTTATTTGCAAATACTCTCTGCCACATGGCACAACTACACATCAAGGTGAAATTCTAGATCAATGATTTATGGAAATGCACATATTTCTTCTCAAAGACACACTTAATTAAAGTATTTGTAAAAACCTGGAGACAGTATGATGTAGCTCCCTAATGTTCTTTAAATTATATTGCAGAATGACTACAACAGTGAAGAGTCAACAGAAATGGAGGGAAATCAATCAAGCACCACATTCCTACTACTGGGATTTGGCAGTAGCCTCAAACTACGAATTTTGCTCTTCTTATTGTTTTTACTCATCTATGTATTGTCAGTTTTCGGAAACCTTCTTGTGATTTTACTAGTCTTAGTTGAGCGACGTCTGCATACCTCCATGTACTTCTTTCTCTTGAATTTGTCCTTCCTGGAGGCCTGCTATATTTCAGCCATCTTACCCAGAATGCTGTTCAGTTTTCTAACTGGGGACAGAACCATATCCATTGAGGGATGCATCACACAATACTATTTCTTTGGTTTCTATGCAGCTACTGAGTGCTACCTTCTAGCCATTATGTCTTATGATCGGTATTTGGCCATATGTAAACCTCTTCATTACACATTTCTTATGAATGGGAGACTCTGCCTCCAGTTGGTGTTCACCTCTTGGATGTGTGGTTTGTTGACCAACACAATAATAACCTCTTTTATGCTCAAGCTCACATTTTGTGGACCCAATGAAATTGATCACTTCTTCTGTGATGTATATCCAGTGGTAAAACTTTCTTGCAGCAATACTCACCTAGTAAAACTTGCAACTTTTATTCTAGCTCTTATAGGAACATGTCCCCCATTCCTACTAACTTTGTCCTCCTACATCTGTATTCTTCTCACTGTTTTAAACATTCAGTCCAAAGCAGCACAACAAAAGGCTTTTTCCACTTGCTCCTCCCACCTCATTGTTGTGACATTTTTCTATGTGCCACTTTTCCTTGTCTATGTAATACCCGAAACAGAAGCACTGAAAGAACTACACAAAACCTTCTCCATTTTCTACACTGCCTTGACTCCCATGCTCAACCCTCTCATATACAGTTTGAGAAACCGAGAGGTGAAGGAAGCTTTTTTCAGATTGACCAGGAAACACAGCAGTAGAATTTCATAGCTTCACAATCTCTTGATGGAACTGGTGAAATAGTAAAAGGATTTGGACCACTAGAAATTGGTGTAGCAATTTTTGGGACAGGAAGCCACAATGTTTGAAATGGAAGTCTTTAAACTCCCAAACTCCATTAACTTTTTCATTTAAACATGAGAAATACTTGAAGTCAAATTCTGAAATCTAGTCTACAAATAATTTTATGTGAACTCCTTGTATGTCTTTGATTCATTTGATTTCTCTGTATGTCAATATAGCTGCAACCATATGTATTAAATATGAGATTAATCCTATTAAATAGAATCTGAGTAAAGATCCTTATGGCTTCATTCTTGAGCATCAAGATAAGAAAAAAGGAGAGAGATGCTTTGTGTTCCTGTTGGTTTGTATCCAGTCTCAAAGCATTATATGGAAGAAATTAAAATAGTAAAAAAAATTAGAAAGCAAGGGTAAAATGAGAAGTGATAAACTGCAAGTATGTACATAGGAGAAATTACAAACAATTTCTTTCACAGATGGAGGCTGGCAAGAGTTAAAAAAATCTGTAACTGAGATATAAACTGTGGTGTTTGAATGATGAAATTACTCTTGCCCATGAGATCATTGTTTTCTATGCTTGGCAAGAGGATTCTGTCTTCTCAATGATATGTACACATTAGAAGGATTTTATATGCATTATAGAGTTTTATAAAAATCTGTAACATTTTATTTCTTTTTTTATACAATGGCTGAAATGTTGTTCCTTAATATAGTAGGCTGATCTAGAGCAAACCTATTGAATCCGTTGGGATTTTGGTGAGTCAAATCCTCTGAATGTTCCATTGATTCAAATGTAGTTGCAGCTTACTATGCTAAAGTAAGTTGCAACTAAAGTTGGCCCATTTGAATCAATGGGCATTATTGAGGAGGCGACTCACCAAAGCCGCACTGATTCAATGGGCCTACTCCAGTACAACTTACTATGCTAAGCAACAAAATTTCAGCTATTAAAAGAAAAGAGGAGTGTCCACAAGCAGAATATACATATCTGTACAGTATATGTATGTAAACATGCACAAACATAAGAATAGTTCTGAAAAGTCTTCCATGACAATAACAATTGCAACAACAAAAACATGAGAGCAGAGGGTAAATATGTAAGAAGAGCCAGCTGGATCCTGACTAGTCCAACATACTGTTTATACAGTGGCCAACCAGATGCTTAAGCAAAGCTCACAAACAGCTTATTAGTGTCATACCAGCCTTCTGCTCCTGTTTCCCAGTTACTGGTACATAAGACATGCACAGCCTCTAGTATTAGAGGGGATAAACTGCATATCCATTATGTCTAGTACATAGATATAGATATATAGTACATATCCTCCATGAGTGTGTTCAGTGTTGTTTTAAAACTACCAACTAGTGGCAGCTAAACAGTGAATTCCACAATTATTCCTTCTTCTATGTAGAAAGAAGAAACCCTTCCCCTTATTTTCCCTGAATAATCCACCATTCAGCTTCATTATATGATCATGGGCTTTAGTATAATAACACAAAGAGAAAACAGTACATAAAACTATTATGCACAGGATGGAGGAAATTCTTATTTGCTTTCACCATATTATGCATAATTCAATAAATGTCTAATGTAATTCCCTTTATCTGCCTTTCTGAAAATTTTTTCCATCCTGCAGAAAATAGCACTCAACAGCTAAAGATCCATTTTAAAGATGGCTGCAAAAATGAAAACACCGCACGCTTATCTTTAATAGATTATTGTTATGTCATTGCCACTCTTACGCAGTACCACCAAGACTTACTGCTGTTGAATGTCAGTGTCGATGTCTATGAAAGATCTTCTTGGCAGTGTTAGTTTCTGCTATTGCTGCTGTCCAATAGCTGTCCTTCAGTTTCTTCATGATTGGAACTATCAATTGTCTTTTGAGGTGACTGTTAGTTCATGAAGAATTCCTTCCTCTGGTGTCACAGTTTGATCATTCCACCTTGAATGACCTTGCTAGGAGCCCCGACCCATAACAAAATCTTTCCTCCTGGTGGAATTGCTCTCACCTATGCTGCCACATTCAGCCCCTCAAATAAATATTTATTTATTTTATTTATTTAAAATATTTATAACCTGCATTTCTCCTTAAAAAGGACCCAAGGTGGCTTACAACAATTAAAAGACAGTATAGAAGTTAGTAACAATGAGTAGACAATACTAAAAGGATCAATGAAGACAATCCCCAAATAAGCAATATCAAAACACATTCGATACAGTAAGATACAACAATCCATTTAAAACCTCACTCAGGCAGCCATTCATTCATGGAAACCTTGCCTGAAGAGAAAGGCCTGCTTGCATGAGGACAGCAAAGATGGAGCCAGCCTAGCTTCCCATGGGAAAGAGTTCCAGAGTATGGGAGCAGCAACAGAGAAGGCCCTCTCCTATGTTACCACTAGATGTGCCCGTGAAGATGGTGGGACCAAGAGGAAGGTCTCTCCACATGATTAACAGATTAAAGTGTACATCCAAGAGAGAGGGTTATTATGTTCAGTTTTTGTATACTGTTAGTACTTGAAGTAAGGAGCATAACTTTCTTGAGAGAGTAAGAACAAGGACTTTATCATCCATGGGGAATTACCACTGCCTAGTAAACTTACAACTGAAATAAAACTTAGATCACATGGAGATTCCATTGAGTTTTTTTTTAATCATCAAGACTCACATATCACTATCAAACACAGAAGGAGCCTTCCTAAAGAATTTGAGGACAGTACATACATTAGGGCATTGTCTGGCCAACAACAGCACTTTGACAGCTGATCCTTCCACGTGGGAAGCTCCATTAGATTGCTTCTGACACAAACTAAGGAGACACACATTGTTGGTGACCACCTCAATAAGACAAGGACGTTGTGTCAACCTTACATATGTTCTCTGCTTTTTTCTTTCTTTTTTTAAAAAAAATGTTATTAAAGTCAAAAAATAATCAAACCATTATCTACTTCAATCATATCAATCATATACAGGACTGTACTTGAGCTTTGAATACTTTTACCACATACACAATTGTAATTCAAACATGATCATAAATTATGTTTTACATATATTTTTAGTTAAATCCATGCATCACGCTATAAATTGTTAGTCCTATCAGAGAGAGAAAAGAATATTTTGTAATCATTAGATGGTGACATTAAATTTGCCACCTGGGTCATCCTCTGCCATCAGTTGATCAGTCCAGGCAGGAGCTCAAGGTCCTTGCCCCCACCTCTTCTGGCAGCCAATCACACAGACAAGGAAGTGAGACAGGGATTCTTCCTGCACAGCCAATGAGTGGTCAGCTGCTGGAGGAGGCAGGTCATGGAAGCCCAGGTTCCTGCCTGGACTGGGCAGCCAATGATGGAGGACAACCTGGGCAGCTTGCTGAGGCTTGTGAGTGGGGCAGTTGGCCAGGGCGTATGGAATGTGTGACACCTGTGTTGCTGTGCAGTTTTGTCTGCGATACAGCAGTTTGTCACTGTACCACAAGACTCAGTAAGAAGGCTCAGTCTATAAGAAGATGCAGCATTATCTCCCTCTATTCTTAGACAATTTCCAGTCCTGCTGAAACACAGACACACCCGCACATGTGCAATCAGCTTCTTCAGTGAGAAATAGACGGTGGTCACAGATTTTTGTATCTACCTCCTTCAGAGAGAGGATTTAAGTCAGAACAAAGGGGAAGAGGAGAGGGGTTGAATCTGAGATACTTAAGCAATTGTTTGTTGTCCAGTCAGAATATGTGTTCATAATTCAGTATATCATTGAAAACAGACAGAAACTGTATACTTGTCAGTTATGTAGGCTAAGAAGGGTGCTCTCTAAAGCAATCATAAAAACTCACTTTTCCATTCCCTGATGGAAAAAGGGTACATCTATCTATCTATCTATCTATCTATCTATCTATCTATCTATCTATCTATCTATCTATCTATCTATCTATCTATCTATCTATCTATCTATCTATCTATCTATCTATCTATCTATCTATCTATCCATGAAGGCTTTCACGGCTGGGATCTAATGGTTGTTGTGGGTTTTTCGTGCCAAAGAGCCCGAAAAACCCACAACAACTATCTATCTATCTATCTGGCTGCCTTGCTGGCTGGCTGGTTGTTTGGCTATCTATTATATTTATATCCCACCCATCTAATGGTGAGTCACTAATCCAGGCAGCTAAAAGCAGATAAACACACATACCCGCTCACCCACAGAGAACACCCATATCATAAAGATGACAACAGAAAAAGGAAAAACACAAAAGGCAACACAAACAGCAAACTAAATTCAAATACAATAACATGTAACAGCAAGGAAATCATAGCGGGAGAAGGCCTAATTTAAAAGCTCAGGTTTCACACATTTCCTGATGGTCAAGAGGGAGGGAGCCTGGCATATATCCTCAAGAATGCATTCACAATGTCGCAGCCACCACCAAAAAAGTCCAGTTGAAAAAAGCTCCAAAGCCTACACGTTTTTTGTTTTGTTTTGTTTTTTGCTCTTACATGACAGCAAAAAGACCAGAGTTTGTTTTTCAACTGTGGTACTGGCAAAGAAGAAGAAGTCAGTTTTTTTTTCATACTAAACCACAATATACATATTTCATTGCATGAAATCAAATATTACATGCGAAATACATATATTTATACAGTCCTCACATGTAAGGGGGAAATCCCTTGTGATCTTTGTAATTTTTTGTTCTTACCTTGACTGGGGAAATCCTTTGTGATCTCATCCAATAGGTAGAAAATCTTTGTAATTTTTTGTTCTTACCTTGACAATGACCTAAGTGAAGGTTTACATACCCTAATAACCAAAGCTATTAATCTTCCTTGACATTAGGCACTACATAAGGTAAAGGTAAAGGTTCCCCATGCCATTAAGTCCAGTCATGTCTGACTCTAGGGCACAGTGCTCATCCCCGTTTCCAAGCTGTAGAGCCAGCTTTTGTCCGTAGACAGTTTCTGTGGTCACGTGGCCAGCGTGACTAGACACGGAACACTGTTACAGTCCCACCGTGGTGGTATCTATTTATCTACTTGTAATTGCATGCTTTCGAACTGCTAGGTTGGCAGGAGATGGGACAAGCAATGGGAGCTCACTCCGTTGCGTGGATTCGATCTTACAACTGCTGGTCTTCTGACCTTGCAGCACAGAGGCTTCTGCAGTTTAACATGCAGTGCCACCACATTCCTTCTAATGGGGCAGGCACTGACCACTGAAACAGCAACAGTAACATTTGTTTCCTAGGGAGCAGACATTTTATCTTCTTCTAACACAACCAGATTTTATCACCAGCCACTGTGGAGACCTGCTATTGGGGAAAAAATGTGATCAAAATATTCCAAGAAAAATGATAGGTGTTTTCAAATTAGCAACCTTGTGTTCTTGATCCCTGTAAGAATTGCTAACTTTCTCACAACTTTTTCCAGTGCCTCCTGAACATCTTTGTTTCTCAGGCTGTATACGAGAGGGTTGAGAAGAGGAGTTAATATGGTATACAGAAGAGAAAAAACTTTGTTTAGATCTTTGAGGGTAGTTGTCTTTGGCAAGACATAGACAATAATGAGAGTTCCATAAAAAGTTGTAACTACCACCAAATGGGAGGAGCACGTAGAGAAAAACTTTTGCCTTCCAGAGGTGGTTGGCACTCTCATGATGGACATAATGATGCAAACATAGGACACCAAGGTCAACAGGAAAGATGGAAAAACACACACTGATGACAGTATGAAAACAAAAGTAACTATTATTTCATTCTTGCCACAAGACAAATTGACTACTGGCCCAAAATCACAAAAGAAGTGGTCAATCTCATTTGTACCACAAAAGACTAACTGTGACATTAAAGATGTTGTCATGGTGATTGCCAAACCCCCACCCACCCATGAGCCAGCAGCCAACTGGACACTCAGCTTGTCATTCATGTAGGCGCTGTAATGCAACGGCTTGCATACGGCCACATAGCGATCAAAGGACATTGCAGTTAAGAGAAAACATTCTGTGGTAACAAGAATGCCAAAAATGTAAAACTGTATGAAGCAACCTATGAATGAGATAGACTTGTGTCCTGTGGTGAGACTGTATAACATCCTGGGCAGGATCGTTGAGCTGTAGAAGATCTCTAAGCAAGACAGGTTGCCCAGAAAGTAGTACATAGGTGTATGAAGATTATGGTCTAATACAACAAGAAGAACAATGAGCAGGTTCCCAATGATAGTCACAAGGTAGATCATGAGAAATAGCAACAGAAGAGCAATCTGCACATCCTGACCATCCCCAAATCCCAGAAGAATGAATTCTGTGATCATGGTTTGATTTGATCCAATGTGTTTTTGTCGAGGAAACATGTAGATAAGTTCTGGTACACTGAGGAAAGAAAACAGAGAAAAGGAAGGAGTGGATCTAAAGCAGAGTTGCAACTGAGAAGCTTGGATCTTAGATCTCAGAATACATTTTGGTATTTTGAATATTTCTAGCAATTTTCACATTATACTCAGACAAAAAAAAATTGGACTTTTTCACTCGCAAACTGAAATCATATTCAGATTTTCATAATGGCCTTCTTTGAGGAAACTGAGAATACCAAAGTGTGAAATTCCAGGTTTATTCAGGTTTTGAAAATATAAAATTATATATAATCCTTGAATTTCAAAAGCAGTGTGTGAGTTCTTTTAACAGGAAATGCAGTGGCTAATTGTTGAAATGAGGATGGAAGATGGTGACTTACCTTTCAGTATATCTAAGGTATAAGGGATGGTGTTGTAACTTCTGTCACTGACAAAGTCCGAGCCTAGATGGATTCAAAAGTCATTTCATTCTTCTTATTCTAGAACTAAGCTTGAACAGGGTAATGACATCTGAAGCTCTTCAGACTCAGTCATTGTGTAACATACAGTATCTACCAAAGCACATTACCCCAAAGCTATAATATTAGCTTATTAGAAGGCGTACTAGGCTTCCTTTAATCCTTACCACTTTTCATCCTAGAGGAAAACACAATCTCCTTTGATATTCAGACACCAGGGAGCTACATGCTGTTCTGAACCACTAGAAAATGGTTACTATTTTGAAAGAGAGAAAAGACGATAGAGATTCAATTTTATTTTTAGTGTAATAGATTATCTAGTGACACCTCCACAAGTTAGCTTAATGTGAACCCATCAAACTGAATCACTTTGGATTTTTTTTTTTCAGTGGCAAAGTAAGCACGCCTTTACGCTGACCTCATGGAAAGACAAGAAAAAATGAAATTATCTTTAAGTTGTGGTACATTTTACATATTAATGTCATGTAACCCCAGAATTCATAAAGTCAGTACAGATTCCCTCAACACTTAAGAACCATTCAGGGCCAAATTCTGTGTGACACAGGAGAGTTGTGTTCCTGAGTTTACCTGTCGTTTTCTCACCTCAGGTTAATATTAGCACTGGGGTAGCTTAAACCAGAAAAGCAAGATCTGGGAATACTACAGTTCAGTTGTTCACTTGGGAATTCCAGCTGTGATAATGTAAGCTACAATTAGTTCACCGGGTTTGCCCATTTATTTGTGGTGAAAAGAGTACTAAATGTGAACTGAGGGACAAGTCTTTTCAGATTGTCATTTGCTTGTGCACAATCTCTCCTCATGGAATGCACAAATGGTGGGAGAGCATTGCTGCACATCAGATTGGCCATAAGGTCAAAGTTAGGCAATGCACTCTCATCATAATCCTTTCACTTGCTCTTTGAATATTTGAGAGGACAGTTCTGAAATCCGCTTGTCAATGTGCCACAGAAGTGTGTTGTTAACATGTTATGAGGGGGTTGTGTCCAAGATATAGGATCAAACCAGTCGTCATGTGGAAGCTATCTAGATGTATTTACATGACACCCACCCCCATTCAAATATGAAAAAGTGGTGAGAAACTACCTTTGTGTGGAGTCATAAACTTAATAGAATGGTAGGATTGTTGAGTTAAAATGGACCATAAGAATCATATTGTCCAGTTCAATGGCAGTGCAGGAAATCCACAGATAAACATCTCTGACAGATTGGCCATCCAACTTTGGTTTAAAAATCTCTAATGAAGAGGGGTCTCCTACTTTCTTGTCAGAATCTTATTGGCCTCCACATAAGGTTTGTGTAATTCACTGTGGCTAATTGAATGAAGAAGCTGTACTTGGCCAAGACAAGTTACACAAATCTTATTTGAACACAATAAGATTCTGGTCATCAAGGTGGTACATTCTCTGCCAAACAACATTTACTGTCAAGAACTTCTTGCATATACTTGGATTCTCTTCTCTTATAATTTGAACCCATAGATTTTGGTTCTGTCCTGTGGAAACATGATAAAGAAACTTCCTCCATCTTTTATGTGAAATCTTTAAAATATTTGAAGAGAGTTATGGTATCTCATCTCAGTCCTTCAACTATTCCTCATAAACCACAGTTTCTTAGTCCTTTACCATGTGAGTGAACCTCCTTTGGACACTTCCTTGCTTGTCCATATCTTTCTTAGATTGGGGTGCACAAAACTGGGCACAGTACTCTTAGTGATGCCTGATTAATGCTGAAGAGAAAGGTACTATTTGTTTCTTTGATCTAGACAGTATACATCTTTTCATGCAACCTAGAATTGTATTAGCTTTTTTTGCCACCACATCACTGTTGAGCCATGTTTACCTCAACATCTACTAAGGCATCTTTATTCCTTTTGCATGTCTTATTGCTATTAACAAATGTTGCCCATCCTTAACTTTGTGCATATATTTTTATTTTTGAAAATCATCTCACCTCAAACCTGTCAAGGTCATTTTAAATTCTGATTGTCTTCTGGAGTATTAGCTATCCCTTCCAGCTTGGCATCATCTCCAAATGTGTTCCTTCTATTTCTTCTATTTCTTCATCCAAATTATTGATAAAATATTGAACTACACTGAGCCAAGGATGATGACTGACCAATATTTGGCCTATAAGCAGCTAGAAATAAACCTAACACCATTGTTTAGGTGAGCAGTAAGAATTTTATAGGATACTCATACCCCTCTGTGGAAGGCGGAGGGCTATGCCCACTGCCCTGATCCCATCTCTCCTAAATTTCTCAATGAAAGAGAGAACTGTATTGCCCCCTCTAGTGGCCAATTTAAAAACAATAAATAAAACCAGAATCATGAAACTACAGTATAGGCATGCTAGGGTCCTCAGAACATGCTAGAACTGTCTCTCCTGGCTCTAGATGGCAGATGGGGACTTTAAAAAAAGTCTAATATTTTTGGATGCTGGAAGCTGAAGGCCTGGAGGCCTGAATGGTGCCTTTGGAGGCTACATGAAAACCACAGACCCATGTTGTCTGTCTCCAGTTTAGGCTATATTTATCAACTTGTCCAGTACTTCTAAAACATTCTCCTGATCTACCAAGCACCTGCCTCTGTCAAAAACAATAGATAAGATTAATGTGATGTAACTTGTGAAAGGGTTAATTCTGGCACTCCTGGCAGGTTATCTGCCTATGTATGCCCCATACCTCTTGGAGGACCCATCAGAAGTAGGAACCACTGAGGGAACAGAACAAGGCCAGTCAGTGCACATCAGAGAAGAGATGGCTATAGATGGGAATCATCTGTGCGAGTAGTTGGGGGGGGCAGGCCCATGCTTCCATCTGGGAGCAATAAAAGAGGAATAGAGAAAGGTAGGAAGGGGAACCACCAGGGAGAGGAAGCAATCTCCAAAATGATTGGGAGAATGTAGGTCAATGAACCAGAAACCACTGATGCTGAGGAGGAACAGCCTGCAGAGATATGCTGGATGAACTGCTGAGCATCAAGGAGGTGGTGAACTACAAGGACCCCTGGAGGGGCATTTTTGTGCAGATTCAGCTTCCACGTGAGAGATGCTGAGGTGGAGGAGGTTTGAGCTAGTTCCCTGCCAGCCATGCCCATATCCCACAGGATACAGCCAGAGGGGAGGCCACACCCCACATCTACCCAAAGGCAGCACTGGAGGTGCAAGAGGCAGAAGGAGCAGCAATGGTGCCTCTAGCAGCAGCAGATGGGCAATTCTGAGCCATAGCTAGGTCTCAGTCCTTCCATTCACATGGTTGGTTGTGTGGGACAGCATTCTAAGCAATGTCAGAAACAGACTTTGAACTCTCCAGGTCTAATGAAGTCAATTTGGGGATCCGAGTGGGCTGAACACCTAAGACAGCTCATATCCGAAACTCAGTCCACAATGGACGGGCAAGTGGGGTGGAGATTCCTTTTCTTTCCTTTGTTGTACACCATTTCCTTAGCTCAATAAATTCCAGTTTGGACAGTTCTAATGGCTGGGAGCTTATGGAGGCAGGACAGAGGAGATGTTGCCCACCACCTCCAACTTATGTAGGGTGGTGGTGCTCACACTTATATTTCAGAAATCTATGCCGGCTCTTAGTATTCACCACTTCCTTTACTGAAGGCTCACAAGCTGATCATTTACTGATACATTTCATTGTATCAGCATGAAGTAAACCAGTCACTATTTCCTGGCACGTCTTTTTCTTACATTTCTAAATATGAAGCCAATTTGGGCCCTAGAGACCTAAATTCATTTAACATAGCTATGTGTGCATATACTAATTCTTTGGCTACTTTGCCCAGCAGTTTGTCACTGCCTGCTTAATCCTTTTTTTTTTTTTTTTTTTTTGGCTAGGTTCATCACTGGTTTCCAGACAGAAACAAAGAAAGCATTGAACAGGTCTGTTTCTTGCTCATTAGCATCTCCCCATCCTTTCCCTACAGAAGACTGGCTCATCCAGTAGCCATCCACTTTTTGAAGCACTTTAATCTTACCTTGACTATAATAACAAAATCAATACAGTACTGTGGCATCTTAATGGCAAGTTTTAATTGACATACATATCTGCAACCCATTTTTCCAGATGCATGAGGGCGTGGCGGAATGGAGCACAATAGCAATGATGTAAACTCTGGAACACAGGCATTCATCATTGCCGTTTTCATTTCAGGTTATGAAGAAAAGTCTAAAAATTCAAAGAATTGTATATCTGTAGGAACCAAATACTCAGAGCAGTTATCATCTCCATTAGGAGCATGATTTTTGGAACCAGTCAGTATCAAACTACCATCACCATAAATCTGGGAAAGCTGATAGAAATATATTATTGCTTGGAAAATTCCCCTCCCTGAACTAATATAGATGCTGCAGCAAATCTCAGAGGGAAGTGGTGTCATGGCCCTGATAGATGAGACTTCCATGGAAGGCAAGCCAGACCCCCTAAAATGCAATATGCCAAATCCCATAAACCCTGAACCTGCGGAGATCAAGGAGACCACCCCCTGATGACACTTTCTCTGTGCACAATTCTGGACCTTTGTGGGGGGGCCAAGAGCTTAAACCATTAAACAAAGGTGGCTCTGGGGCTGAGTCAGAGACAGATACACCCCCTCCCTCCAATACAAATACCACACATTGAAGGCCCAAGCCTGGATGGAAGTACTCTGATGAAGTGTTCAGCTGCAGAGAAACATTCCATAAGGAATGTTTATCCTTATCCTTATCCTTTATCCTTAAGATAAAGCTCTTTCCTTTAAATTTCGAGCTTCTAGAAAGCTTGCACACCATTTTTAAAAGCATATCTTTACTCAAAAGATAAATAGAAACATCCAAGCAGTTTTCGTTTATTCAAAGTATTTATAAGCAGACCACATTCTCTACATGAAAAATACACTAAATTAAAACGTAAAAACTAACGGAAAAAGAGATTGACTATTCACACACACATGAAAAAGGAAAATCAAAATCCCATTTTGTTACTCCCAATTGTATAACGAAGAAAATATATTTTAAAATGATATGGGCAGTAGAATAAAGAAACACCAGCATTTAAATAAGAGAATGCATAAAATTAGGCTCTATTGTTCTCTGAAACACGCACAATCTAGCAATAACTTTTCTGAAAGCTTCCTCTACCTCCTTGTTTCTCAGGGAATATATCAAGGGGTTCAAGAAAGGTGTCAGAACTGTATAGAAGAGAGAGAAGACTTTGTTTAGATCTTGAAGTGCCTCCGTCTTGGGCAACATGTAGACAATTATTATTGTGCTATAGAAGAGAGACACCACAGTGAGGTGAGAAGAGCAAGTAGAGAAGGCTTTTTTCCTTCCCGTAGTGGATGGGATTCTCACAATGACTGATATGATGGAAATGTAAGAGGCTAAAGTCAACAAGAAGGGAGGCAAGGAGCACAGGGCAGCAAGGAAGATTGTTAACAGTTTAATCATGTGTGTATCATCACATGAAAGCTTTAATATTGGATTGAAATCACAGAAGAAATGGTTGATTTCACCAGAGCCACAGAACTGTAACTGGTGCATTAAAAAGATGGTTATGTTAATAGCCAAAGAACTGCTTATCCAAGATCCAGCTATTAGCTGGAGGCAAACATGGCCATTCATAAGTGTTGCATAGAGCAGTGGATTGCAAATTGCCACATACCTGTCATACGACATTGCAGCAAGCAGGTAGCACTCAGAAACTGCTAAGAAACCAAAAAAGTAATACTGTACCATGCAGCCAGTTACAGAAATGGTGCCTTGACCCCCTTTAGAAAGGTTAGCCAGCATTAAGGGAAGAATATTGGAGCTGTAACAGGACTCTAAGCATGACAAGTTAGCCAAGAAGAAGTACATAGGAGTATGGAGGTGGTGGTCAATTATAACCAGCATGATGATGAGGATGTTCCCAGCCATTGTAGCAATGTAGATGACCAAGAAGAGCAGGAAGGGAAGAAACCACTGATCCTCCAGATCTCCAAATCCCAGAAGAAGGAATGTAGTGATCAGTGTTCGATTTTCCTGTCCTGTTTTTTCCATCTTGGTAATTCGACCTGTAAAGATCAAATCAATTCAATTGTAAATATATGGATATGAGTGGACGAAGTCCCTTTTCTAGGAACATGTTCTAAGTCAAACAAGGCTAAAACAGATAGTAAGCAAGAGAAAAGGAAAAAGCTGAAGGTGGAAGTCTGTTTCCATTGCTTAATGTGAAGAATATTTCAAATATTTGTTTCAAAGTAGACTAAAATTATGCTTTCATGATTATCATACATTTCAAAGTACTCTCTTTCATGTGTATCAGGCATCTCGAATTGAGTTCTGTTCCTTGATTAAGAATATAAACATTTGCGCTGTGGGAAGAAGAAAAATTGAGGTAGCTATCCATTGTCCTGGCAAATAGAAGGGGAAGATATGGAGGCAGTGACAGATTTTACCTTCTTGGGCTCCATAATCACTGCAGATGGAGACAGCAGCCACAAAATTACAAGACGCCTGCTTCTTGGAAGGAAAGCGATGACAAACCTCGACATCATCTTAAAAAGCAGAGATATCACCTTGCCAACAAAAGTCCACATAGTCAAAGCTATGGTTTTTCCTGTAGTGATGTATGGAAGTGAGAGCTGGACCATAAAGAAAGCTGACCACTGAAGAATTGATGCCTTTGAATTGTGGTGCTGGAGGAGGCTCTTGAGAGTCCCCTGGACTGCAAGGAGAACAAACCTATCAATTCTAAAGGAAATCAACCCTGAGTGCTCATTGGAAGGACAGATCCTGAAGCTGAGGCTCCAATACTTTGGCCATCTCATGAGAAGAGAGGACTCCCTGGAAAAGACCTTAATGTTGGGAAAGTGTGAAGGCAAGAGGAGAAGGGGACGACAGAGGATTAGATGGTTGGACAGTGTCACTGAAATAACCAACATGAATCTGACCCAACTCCGGGAGGCAGTGGAAGATAGGAGGGCCTGGCATGCTCTGGTCCATGGGGTCACGAAGAGTCGGACATGACTAAACGACTAAACGAACGATCCACTGTCCTGATAAGAGATGAAAGGGGTTACAGTGGATTAAAGGTAATTAAGTGTTAATGGCCCCCAGAAACCCCAATGACACATTAACCTGTAAAAGGAGGATCAATCAGAACTAGTCCTTTGAGTCTCAACATCCTCTCAAGAGGAGGAACATTGCATGCCGGTGGCTTGATCTTACTCCCAAGAAGACCATGTTTATGGCAGCCCACTCTGCTTCAGCACAAGTATGGGATAGTATAGATTAAAATTTGTTATTCTCTCACATGTTCCTTCATTTGAATTGTCCTCAGTCTGTTTTGTGATTTCACTGCATTATATCAAGAAATCAATTTTGAGTAACTGTGTGGAACTTTCACCTTTTTACTTATTGTAATTACTTCCTTTTTTTCCCTAATAAAATGCATAAAATCATTTCTACTTCTTGGTTGGATTTTGGAGCACAGAGGATTTTGTGATACAGAATACAGTGCAGTCCCTTGCCAAGCTGAGTTTTGGTCGATGTTTAATAATGGGGAGAGTGAAAGCATGCCTTTGAGTCAAACTTTCTGGAAGCACCGCCAGAATAGGGTGAAGGAATGTTTGGAAGCAGAAAATGTTCCCTATTATAGACTCTCTCTCCTTTAACACTTCCTTGAGTGTTTCATCTGAAGACAAAGAAGAAGAAAGCAGAATGGCTATCCTCTGCCAGGAACTTTATTTCCAAATGTGGATGGACAAAAGTGTGTATATAGGTTCTATTTGATTCACCATTCTTTCCAACATAAAGGCCAGTCTGTCCATTTAAAAAAAAATCTGCAAATTTGAATCTGTGCATATTTTTCTTCTCATTTCTCTAAATCTACAATTCACATACATTTTTGCTTAAATTGTTTAAATGACTCCAGTTTTTGCAAGTCTTTCTTCAAAAAGGCGTTCTTAAAAAAAAACTTGTATAAAATACATGAATGTGTTTGTGTGTGCTTTCCTGTACCACACATGTTTTTCATGCATTTTTGGGTCCAAACTACATTATAATGCAGGTTTCAATACTGGACTATATTGCTCTTTCATGTATGGGCTCAAATAGCACAAATCTGGTAAATTCCTTTAAACATAAAAACTACATGAAATACACCCATCACTAGATCCCTATTTAGTTAGAAATCTCAGCTGAACAATCCTCAAAGTCTTCAATAAAATGGATCCATTTAGGTAAGGAGACATGGTTCACAGAATCGAGCAGATTTTAGCAAGCAGTTTCCAGAAATCTCTCTGTGTTTTGAAAAAATCACTAACCATGTTCATCATTTACTGATTTATATAATTCTCAAAATATAGTCTTTAGAAATTATGCGTTCCAATGCTACCCTCAATTCACATCTCTAAATATTATAAAGAGACCACAGCACTAGAATTACCTCGTCTCTCTTCTGGGTACTGTGTCTCTCCTTTTGTTTTCTTCTTTATGAATACAGTTCTTGTTATAAATATTTTAAAGCATGTTTGTTCCTACCTTCATTTCTTTTTAACTTCAGTAGTTTTGCCAGAATAATCAATCCCTTTGAGTCATTGTTTCTCTTTCTTCCCACAGGGAAGCCAGCGTCTCCTCAGAATTATTATTTTTAATAATACGTATGTTAAGATTGCCATTAAGTTCCATGTTTAGAACTTAAGCAAAGCATTTAAACCTTTGACTGGGAGGAGGTGGGACATAGAGTCTTTCATCTGCTAAAGTTAGATGATGCAAAACTAAATTCAGCAAGATGGAGACTTTCATTCTGATTTAGTGATTAATACTATTTATTTATTTACCTAGCACTCAGTCAGAGAGTTCGACCGGCTGCCTACCTACCACCTTTGTGCTGGGGAAAATCCCAAGACCTTAGCAGTCTGTAGCGTAAGCCTTTTGAACAAGTCTGACCTTAAAAGAACACTTTACCCAGTACTTTGCAAGTACAGACACATGGACTTTTTGATTCCTTAGAACTCCCAACAGCTCAGTTAGGTAGGACTCTTAAAGATAGCTAGTTTGTGGCCCTCTCCACTTCCTGGATTTAGCCAGACCCTGCTGTTCGAGAGACCAGTCCTTTTGCAGATTTTTTTTTATAATTAATTTTTTATTAGAAAAATAGAGTTTTATAGAATCAGTTTATATTGCTCAAGCTTTAGCATAAAGAACATATTCAAAGATCATTACAGTTAAATAAAATAACTATTTCCCATTCAGATACTGAACACTACTAAATTAGTTTAAGGTGAGCTACAGTGGGCTAGCCCCACCTATTTCTTTCTTTGTACTTACATCCTCTCTCAATCAAGTCACATACTCAAACCATCATCATGGAATCGGATCCCAGAACAGAGCTGGTTCTCCATACATCTCATATAACCCATTGTCCATTTTCTACACTCTCTAACTCCTCCCTTCTTCTTGACAATTCTGGCTGTTAACCAATTAGCCTCAAGGGGCTGTAACACCTTCCCCCTCCCTTGATTCCCATGGAAGTCCAGGTGTTTTATCTCTTCTCCAATTAGTTCGGAATGTTGAGTCTTCCGTGGGGCGCTTGATTCGACCTTTGGCTTTATCTCAAACTAGGCTGTAACGGTCTTCAGAAAAACATTCTCAAAGCACTTAGAAAAACTCATTCCAATGTCTCTCAAATCATCTTCACATAGAACCTGTCTGACTCCATTTTACATTTCTCTGACTACATATCCTATCATCATGACAAATACATTGATACAGAAAAGAAGCAAGTCAATGCATCATGTGTGAGGATTAAGAACATGATGTTTTTCAAATTACATTTTTTTTCAGGCCAACATTGTGAATATAAAATGTTTCTCAAATTACATTTTTTTTTCAGGCCAACATTGTGAATATAACTAAACTTACTTCTTTTAATTGAAACATATTTCTTTACATACGTCCTTGCTACACATGTTTGCCTGTGGTCTTATTGCAAGATTTTCCCCCTAAGAAAAGATAGTCCTTCTATACTAATTTTGCATGCACTTTTCCATTGTATATGCATTATTGTGTGCATTTTTGAGAGGCAAGTTGAATTCTGAACATCTGGAAAGGATGGATTATGTTCTGTCTTATTCTTTATGCTGGCAGTTCAAAATTTGGTACTTTTTGGGAAAAAGGTATATTTTAAGACTACAGTCATCAGGAAACTCCCAGCCAGCTTGACCAAATTTAATTTCCTAGTGCTCTTTATTAGACTTCTTCCCTGACTGGCGAAAGATCTTAAATTGATATTTTTATCTTGTACAATTGTCCTGAATTTATTCGAAGCAGAATGAAAATTTCAAAATTCAAGAATATATAACCTTTACATACATTTGTAGTGTGAATTAAATTCTTCCCAGGATAACTTAACTACTAGTGATTAAGAATAATTTCTGCAATATTTATATGGCACCTTTCTCCCAAAGGATCCATGGCAGTTTACAGTATTAAAAGAAATGAAATTAAAAGCTTATGGAAGGACAGCAAACATGGAGCCAGCCTGGCCTCCTGTGGAAGAGAATTCCAGAGTGTGTGAGTCGCAACAGAGAAGGCCTTTCCCATATCCCTACCAAAGACATCTGTGAAGGTGGTGGAACCAAGAGAAAGGCCTATCTTGATGATCCTAATACATGGTAGGCTCATAAAGGGAGATAGAATCTATTAAATAGATTGGACCCACGCTGTTTAGGCTTTATAGGTTAAAACCATCACATCATGGCCTTTTTTCTAAGCTCAAGTGTAGGTTAAATCCAGCACTTTGAATTATGTCCAGAAATGGATTGGCAGCCAGTGGAGGTGCTGTAACAGAGAAATTATATGTCCATTGTAAGCAGCCTCAGTAAAGACTCCTAATATGCTTCCTCTGTGTGTTTCACCTAGCAGAACTCACACACCAATCCTATGCATGTTTACACAGAAAGAAGGCCAACTGCACACTTAATAAGTGTGCATTAAAGGTTAGATTCTTAACACTGTGATGGTAACATTGACTTGATCTTTGTTGCTGTCTCATT